CATCTATTGTTTATTTTTATTTCCCTTGAAATTTGGGGTTATGCTGATATATAATGAGTATATATAGTAGTACCTTATTATTTAGGGAAAAGGTGCAAACAGGCCCATGTACTAACCAAAAAAGGTCAAATAAGCCCTTATTTATGAGGTTCTATCCGGCCGTCGCCATTTGGGGTGGTTCCCGGTGGAATTTTTTGATGAATTTTTTTGATCATCTTATTCATTAAGTCTAGTTTACTCATACCAAATTGCAGCTAAAACTTCAGTCGGGAAGGCATTCAAATGAATTCTTGAAAATAACTGCGCAGTTAGAAGCACAGTTATCTTCAAGAATTCATTTGAATGCCTTCCCGATTGAAGTTTTATCTGAAATTTGGTATGAGTAAACTAGACTTGATAAATAAGATGCTCAAAAAATTTCATCAAAAAATTCCACCGGGAACCACCCGAAATGACGACAGCCGGACAGAGCCTCCTAAATAAGGGCTTATTTGACCTTTTTTGGTTAGTACATGGGCCTATTTGCACCTTTTCCCTATTATTTAATCTCAAAGTTTTTACAGTAATGACCTTTCATTCTATTCCCTATAATATTCAAGACTTGCACTCTTCTCCTATACGAAGAAGTATAAGGCATTAAGGCCAAGGCTCTTCTCACTTTTCTTGCATTCGACAAGTGGCTAGTGAAGAGAGGCAGAACAGGCAGGGTTGAGCTAGAGGCTGAAAGATCCTTTTCTTAGACACAGAGGCTAGAAACGTGAGAGGTGTCAGGTGTGTACGATTTATCTTTGTCATTAGTTTATTCCAAATTCGACATGTATTGTGAATGTTTATAAGATAAAAAGAAGCTATCAATTAAGTATGCGTTTATATTCAGAGAGTTAGAGCTTTGTTAACTAACTACTCTTCTCATTATTAAAAACTACACCCTTCCCCTATTTGATGCCTAGTCTCCTCATTTTCTTTGAGGCCATGTTAGGTCGGTGAATGATTTGTGTGTGTTTGGTTATAAGAAGTATGGAGAAAGAAGAGGTAAGTCAAAGAATGGAAAAAATTTCATGGTTTAAGAAAAATCTATTAAGAGATTTTGAAAGCCCAAATCTCATGGCTTTCAAAATCTTCATTTCCCCTCAATATAAACCGCCAAATCGGGGTATTTCGGAGTAAAAGATGTTTATAACGGAAAATATATAATATTAATTGACAAAATTAGCCCTCATTTTTCTCTTGCGTTGATCGACAAAAAAGATGTAATATGTACACCATTCTAGGGTGAGAGGAAAATATGGTAGAGAGAACGTGCTGATAACGTGTTTGAATGAGAATGATGCGTGTAGTTTCATGATCAAAAGCCTTATATATAGAGAGATATTAGGGTTTATAGCTATGAGTCAATGAGTCTATAATACACAGTTTACATAGGATAATCCTAATACATATTCTACTAGACTAAATACCCGTGCGATGCACGGGATAAATCTAGAATAGGATAACAACTTCTTTAAAATTATGTTAAATTACGATGGTATGTGATGTGTAATTTTTTTCAAATAAAGAAAGAAATAGAACATATATGCTTTAAATTTGATTATATAATACGGAACAATAGTTTGTAAGAAAAGGAAATTTTGGATCGTATGAAAAATTCCAACTGAAATTAAAGAAAAAATGATAGGGCGTAATAGTAAGCTCTATGAGATAATGAAATAGCATGATCTTACAACCATTAGTGAGTACCATGAGACTTTATAAAACACAGCAAACATATATGTTGATTGACAATGTACAAAAAGTATCATAAATTTTTAAAAACTTAGTTACAGATCATATTATTAGTGGTGTTGCTCGCACGACTCTTGTTATCACCAGTGGCGGACCTAATATTCAGATTTTGGATGTTCAAAATTACAAATTCTAATAAATAAACTATTATGCCAATCCATGCATATATATTCCCATTGGTTTTATATTTTTGAGTGTTTACTTGAACATCCTTGAATAGAAGACATATGCACTGGTCATCACATATAAGAATTTTCATCTCACTTCTTGAATTGACACTTGATGTGGCAACGTACAATTGACCATGCTTAAAAATATATTTTGGATGGTATATGCTCACTTGTTGTAGAGATTGTCTTTAACTTTTTGTTTATCATCATGGCAAATTAAACACAATGAATGAGAATTCCTTGCGTTGAAGTTGAAAAGAAATTTTGCTATTTGACAGGACCATTAATGATAATTATGGATAAAAACCCTTCTTAACCAATATTTTAGTTAAGTCATATATAAGTCGTATAATTGGTCAATGCTTATCATTAGCATAATAGGAACACCTATTTTTAGTCCCAATTTATGGTTCAATATCCTTGATGCACTGATGGTGTTCAAACACTATTGCATGTGAAAATCACTAGATTCAGTGCCGATGTTACCTTCAAGTGAACAGGGACCGTCAAAACTCAAATATGTCTTCATTTCTTCATGAGCGAAATCATATAGTTATTGATAATGTCAACAACATCATCTATGAGTGCCAAAATAACTTTTTTGCTAAACATATGATAGACCTAGTCATATTTTCGAAAAGGTTTGCCAAATTTCCTTTTTTGAATGTCCCAAAAAGATTTGTCATTCCATTTAAAGTAAGGACCATGTGACTAAAGTTAATTCTCTCTCTTCTGCACAAATTTCTGTCACACAGTTTTTACTTTATTAATCTACGAGAAAGTCAAAGTTGGCGAACCTTTCCGGGACGGAGGGAGTGTTTTTTTAAAGATAAAGATATATTTTATATTAAAGAAACTATCATTTACTTTAATAATAAAGTTAATATTGTACTTGCTAAAATTCAAGTTTACTCTTTTCAACTCAGTTATGATGGTAAATTTTAATTTAGTAAATATTTTTGTTACTAAATTGGTAACTATCATAAATTTTTATGACCAAAAATTAAGCTATCTCTTTTGTTACTCAATTAGGAAAATCTAAAAGAATATCTATAGATTTGATATCCATACAATTAATAGAACACATGAGGGATAAATTTCATTACAAAATTAGAGATGTAACCATATATAGAGTATGTTTGCTACATATTGAATCTGTTTGTTGACCTTGTTTTTCGGTTTATCGCCTTTATCAGTCAAGTTTTACTAAAAAATAGCAAATTTTTGCTATTTTTTCACATAACTTTTTCTTTATTCTATTATTAATAACATACATTTTATTTTTTCCCCATAATTTTGCGGAATCAGTCAATTCAGTCACTTAACCCGAAACTTCATAAAATTTAGCATAATCAACCAATTCATTCAATTTTAGTTTTACCAATCAGGCCCATAATATATTCTCTTTTGGTGGAAATGTTGGACCCAAAATTTATACGGAGTAGTAATTATGCTAATTTATATTATATAAAAATAAATATAAAAAGATTTTTATTGTTACCATTATTATCTAACAAAATTTTGCAAATGTAAAACAAAATTTTAAATACGAAAAGTAATTTCTTTACCCTTAAATTTTCTTTCCATTTTGCAATCTTGGGCAGCACTAATAATGATGTGGCCATGTGGGTGATGTACCATACTATTGAAATAATTTAATTTTGTTTACATCAATTTTGTAAACTTGACAATTAAATATTTAGGTGTGATTTTTCCTTTTCGGTGGTGGATGATTATGATATATGATAATGATATATTTAATATATAGAAAAAGATTTTGTCCATCCTTTTGGATAGGATGTTCCGTCCGGCCACCGTCGTTTGGAGTGTAGAAACTAACTACAACCTTACTTTTTCTTATTATAACACAATTCAGTGCACGAAATTAAAAGTTAAATGGTTAATAACAAAGTTGACTGATAAGTCTGATAAGTCAAAAAACACGGTCACCAAACCTGTTCAAAATAGTCATCAAATGTTACTAATTGCCTATATATGACAGCCTTTCGTATACTCTTAAATTTCAATTATAATCTTACCCAATAAATAGTTACTTGATTTATGTGTAAAAGTAGATTGAATTCATGTATTTGTCCATTGAATTAATGGCAAAATAATAGCATTAGACAATGATTCTTCCAAGGTGATTTATACGTACATGCCCACATGGTAATAATGCATTTATGAATTACCAATTATGTGAATGTGATTAACTTTCCTTAAATATTTTGGCTACTCTACCAATTACTCTATAGACTCGGAGGAGAGTTCTCTCTTTGGGGCAATCTTTGTTTTTCCTAACTTTGCCCTCAAATGGGCGCCAATTATGGCTCCAAAAAATGTTCCACTCTTTTACTTTATATTATATAAGATAAGATAAGATAAGATAAGATATACACGATAACACACTGCATAGAATTTGCTTTAATAAAAAGTAGAAAAATCTGAACTAAATAATAAAAATTGAAAAAGTCGAAAAATTGAAAAATTGAAAATAAAAAAATCGAGAAGTTGAAAAATTCAAAAAAGCGAAAATTTTAAAAATTAAAAATGAAAAACTGAAAAATGTAAAAATTGGAAGGTCGAAAAATAAAAAAGTGAAACCTTCAAAAATTGAAAAATTGATAACTAAAAATTGAAAAATTGAAAAATCACAAAATAATTTTTTTTAAAAATAAAATAAAAATAAAAATGAGATACTCCGTATTATTTATGACCTTAGTTAAATATATTTAGAGTTGTTACATTTTCTGGCTTCAGTTGTTACTCCGTCTCAACTGATGCATCGTGTGTGTGCATTCATTTTTTATTTTATTATATATTTTTCATTTTTCTTTTTTCTTTTTATTTATTTATTTATTTTATTTTACATTTTTCTTTTTGAAATGCATCAGTTGAGACGAAGTTTTCATTTTAATAGTGCACTAGTATAGTACCCGTGCATACGCACGGGAAAATAATCGATGGATATACTTGCAATCATGATCTAATTAATTGGAGAAGAAAAGAATTTCAAAAAACTGCATTTCTTCTTAAAAGCAAGAACAACATGTCAATATCATAAAGTGTAAGTTAATAAAATAAATATTAAATAAAATATTAAACTTACGTGTTAAAGATTTTGGAAAACCTCTTTGAATACAACATTCGTAGTAGTGTCTAATGATTTTCCATCCCTATCATGTATTAAAATCTTCAATCCATGTTTGCTCTGAACTCTTGACAATGCCACATACAATTGTCCATGACTAAAAACAGGTCTAGGCAAGTATAATCCAACTCTTTCCAGTGACTGTCCTTGAGATTTATTGATTGTCATCGCATATGAGACCATTATAGGAAATTGTCTTCTTATAAGTTTAAAAGGCCATGGTGATTGAGAAGGAGACATACACATTCGAGGTATGTAAATCTCATCTCCATCATTGCCTTCAGACATGATTCTTGCTCCAATGACATGATTTCCCAGTCTTGTGACAATCAATCTAGTTCCATTACATAGTCCTTCTGACTGGTCTATATTTCTTAGCAACATTACTGGAGTTCCAACCTTAAGTCGTATGTTGTGATTTGGGAGACCTGATGTTCTCAAGGAATTGAGAAACTCTTGTGTCAACGCTTCAAATGCTTCTGCTTCAACTACATCCGACTTGTCTACAGAATCGCAACTTAAATATTCTCTTTCTTCACCTGTAGTTATAAAAGTTCGGTAGTCTTAATTTAATCATTAAGTTTTTTTAAGAATTTATTTTGTAAGTAAATAAGTAAATTAGCTTTTTTATAATATTACCTGGGAGCGTTGAAAGAACATAGTCGTTAATTTTATCGACAATTTCAATAGTTGATGCCAAGACAGCTCTAGACTTAAGAAATTCCTCATTTTTGTATTGCTCCAGCAAGTTCGGATATGTGCTACGGACTATTGCATCTATTGGATCATCAAATTCTTTAATCAAGAATTCATCTGGAATCTTTATTTCTGCATAACCATCGTTTGGCTCTGATATTTTTCCATCTCCCACATCCAATATCCATTTTGAAAATTCTTTGAGCTCAGTAGCACTTGTCATATCCAAATTTTTTTGGAGTCGCATATTTTTAGTAAGAGACAATACCTATCAATAAACAAAAAAAATACTTATATTTGAATATAACTTATATAGTAATTACTAAAAAAAATTATAAAGTGATTATTTGAAATAGTTAAACAATTAGGGTCTGTTTGCAACAGCTTCTACTTTAAAAAAAGTGTCTTTTTAATGAAATGGGGAGAAGTGATTAAATAAAAGTTGATAGCGTTTGAAAAAAAAGTGATTTTGAAAAGTAAAAGTTGATAGTGTTTGGTAAAATAAGTGCTTTTTGTGTAATAGAAAAAGTAAAAGCACTTTTGACACGAAAGCCGGGAAAAATAAAAGTTGTAGTGTTTGGTAAAAGAAATGCTTTTTTTAAGCCAAAAGCTGAGAAGTTTGTTTTTTAAAGTTGTTGCAAACCAACCCTTAATATAATTACTTGTACTTTATTTAAACTAAAAGTGAACGAATGAACAATTTTTTAAAAGTTTTTTAGGTTAGTTATTTTGGTATATTTTGGTAAAATGAATTTGTAAATTATAGTAACAGTAAACATATTGGTTGTGGTACTAAAATGGAGTTATTACCTGACAGTCATCCCATAGATATGAAGAATTGATTGTAGCATTAACAATGTCTGAATGGCTTCCTCCAGGAATAACTGGTAAAGTTTGTCTGAAGTCTCCTCCAAAGACAATCACTCTTCCTCCGAATGGTGAAATAGAATCACCATCATTGTTGATGATGTCATTTAGGCTTCTGTCTAGTGCTTCAAAACAAAATCTATTAGCCATTGTTGCTTCATCCCAAATTATCAACTTAGTCTGTTTTAAAAGCTCTGCAAGTTCACTCCCTTGATGTATATTGCATGTAGAGTTCTCTAGAGTCGGAACTGGGATTGAAAATTTAGAGTGTGCAGTTCTACCGCCAGGTAAGAGTAGAGAAGCAATACCACTGGATGCAACAGTTAAAACAATATGACGCTGAGAACGTAAGGCAGAAGCTAATGTCCTCCACATAAAGGTTTTCCCTGTACCACCATAACCATATAAAAAGTATACTCCGCCTTTTTGGTTAGTCACAGCTTCCATTATTGTGTCAAATATGCCTTTTTGTTCATCTGCAATATTAGCATCAAAATATATGCATGAAATCATTTTTATTTTTGACAGTCAAATTCATTTAATGTGACTTATAAATCATATGAATTGCATTTATCTTACCTGTAAGAGAAGCATACAAAGTTTGGAACTCTTCACGCAACTTGGATGTATCATAATCACGTTCTGCATAAATAAGCCTATTTCCTAGTTGTTCCGTGATATATCCATTTGGATATGGTATTGAGGGATAGTCTTTTAAACTTTTTCTCTTTTTTTGCATCAACTTCTCAATCTCTAGAAGAGTTAAATTTTGCAACTCTTGATCACTTAACTGTAAATCTACAAATGTAATAAACACAATTAAATTAGTAATTAGAAGAAGATGTTCATGTGTATGTGTCTACTTTCATTATGTTTTTATTGTAAATAGTTTAATTTGTCACAGTAATGCAAATGAATGACAACGGGACATGCAGACAATTAAAATTATGAAATATTTTTATTTGAATATATTCCTTTATCCAAATGAATGACAAATTATATGTTACTTGATAGGTGAAATAAATTATATGTTACTTGATACTTGAAATTATTTTAATACTTAAGATAAGAAAAGATGATTGAAGTAATCTAGAAATGACGTAAATTTATGGTAATAGGAAATAGTTAATTTTATAAATTACTAATTTTTATACTTATATAATTAGTGGGAATTTAGAAAGAGTATCACATATCTGCTAAAGTAATCATATATACTTTGTGTTCTCTATTCGAATTCAAATATAAAGTGAATGGAATTTAGTGTAACACTTTTACTCACAAATCTTATATTTTTTTTGGTAGGGTAGGCCTCATGAAGAACTTGTCATTTTACAAATGATTAGTGAAAATTTAATTTTTAATTGAGCGGTGGTCTACATGACAATAACTAAGCAAAATTACTTACTGCCATTAATGACAGTATTTTTCAATCATGACAATAACAACATCTATTTCAGAAAGAAAGACATGCAAATAGTCATATTTTGAAATTCCAAAACATATTTACTTCTGAGCAATTTCCCTATAATTTAGTCATCAATTTACAATTATAGTATTAATTATCAATAATAATATTTCTTATAATCTTTATTTTTATAAAAGAACAAGATGAAATCCAAAATAGTAATGAGATTTTATCTTAAATAAACAATAAAGTATAACAATAACTCTATATAATAATGATTTAACTTGATAGTACAATATGTGTCTCATGAAACTTTTGTCGTTGTACTTTCTTTATAGGTACTGTATCGGTATTTTAAAGTTTGTTACACTGTTTTTTAAAATGTATTTAAAAGTTTGATACACTTTCATTTTTAGTAAGTTTTCAATTAAAAGTACTGAATTACCTCACTTTTTATATTTTTATCTTCTTTTTCATAAGTTAACACGCTTTCTCTTACATTTTCTACACTATTCATTACCCCTACTACTTTCCTCCTTAAATGATGTCCCAAAGTAATATGTAGTCATCTTTAAAATACGTAGAGAGTATTCATTCCTGCCAACCGCTAATCACTGCATCTTCTAGCGAATTACTACGTATATGTTACTCCCTCCGTATCAGATATATCTTCCCACTTCCAAAGTGGGTGAGATTAAGAATAGTGAAATGGAGTGTGAATTATTAAGGGTATGATGGGAAGATGGTGAAATAAATCCAAAAAAAGTAGGTGTAGTAGTGTATTATTTTTTAAATTATTGAGGGTATGATGGGAAGATTTAGAAATGGGAAGATATAAATGTTACGTCCAAAAAAAGGAAAGCGGGAAGATATGAATGTTACGGAGGGAGTAGCATTTAACAGAACTTATACTAAGGATGTTTTCTTTTGGACTGAAATTTGCTGGTCTGGTCTGGTCTGGTCTGTTTAAGTCTGGTCTGGTCTGGTCTGTTTAAGTCTGGTCTGGTCTGGTCTGAACTGGTCTGGTCTGGTCTGGTAAACGTCTGGTCTCTGTGTATTTTATAACTACGGAAGTCTGGTCTGGTCTGGTCTGGTCTGTTTAAGTCTGGTCTGGTCTGGTCTGATCTGTTTAAGTCTGGTCTGGTCTGGTCTGTTTAAGTCTGGTCTGGTCTGGTCTGGGACTGAAAACAGTCCAAAAGAAAACATCCTAAATATGCAAGACATACAACAACAAAAGTTTCATTAGACCCACTTATAATTATTGTACTATCAAGTTATTTCATTGTCAATTAGAGTTATTGGTTATACTTTATCGTGTACGGAGTATTTTAATTTTACTTAGATTTTTTTACGATCCAACTTTTTACTTTATTACAACTACTACTACGTATATAATTAATAAAAGTAACAACACATAAACTTTACCGTATTTTTATTTGATAAAATTACACATTATGTACCATAAAAAACATACTACCTTCGTCCCATAAAATTCTTCTCACTTTCTTTTTTTGTGTCGTCCCAAAAAATTCTTCTCACTTTCCTTTTTTGGACAATTTATGTGGTTCACATTCATTTCACCTTTTTCTTACACAACCACAACCACACATTTCCACTTTCTGAATCTCCGTGTCAAGTCAAAGTGGGAAGAATTTTATGGGACGGAGGGAGTAATTTTAATTAAGTCATTATTCAATTCTAGAAATATCCCGTGCATCGCACGGGTACTTTGTCTAGTAATAATATATGAAAGTACATGAATATTCTGCATGTGTGTTATGTGATCATGAGATTGTGTTTTACGTGCCCAATTGCTGATTAATTGGTTCATAATGCATGCTTATAAATTGCGGCACTTTTATTATGGTAAGACAGTATTTTCTCTACATGCTTCAAAATGGAATCATCATTTGATGTAGTAGACTTAGCAAGTCATCGCATGAGTATCCTCATTTGACCGATGCTTACCTTATTGAGCATGTCTCGTATGAATCGAGTAGATTCCTATTATGTGCATAACTGATTAATTTCCTTACATAATTGATTTGTTGATTATTTTACTGCCTTATATGTGTTAAGCCGAATAAAGGAAATGTTGTAAAAGGAAGGTAATTCAAATCTCATGGCAAGTCCCAAGATTAGGAGATCTCTATGAGAAGAATGCTTCAACCAACTAATTACACAACCACCTATATAATCGAAGCTGCGAAGAAGAAGTGAGGGGGGCTTGACCGGAAAAAATTACTTAGAAGAATTATTCAAGAGAAGGATCAAGTCCATGGCACCTGAAACTGCCCGCTCGGAGTTCTAGATAGAGTTTTCCCTTCCTTTTCAAATTGTACTTGGGATATTGAGGTTTAATTGGCTAGAGTAGCTGCCTCGGGTTGGGTTGAGTGTGTGAGAGCTTTGTTGTAAAGCTGAGAGGCTCTCTACCCGCAAGGTAGAGATGCATAACTCTTGCTAGAGAGGATAGAGTTGGGAAGGCTCAAGGGTAGATTAGGAGAATCTCTGTGGAAGAGAAATGTTCATTAGGTTGCATCCTAAGACAAACACTACTCTCTCTCATGATTATACAACCTCTACGTTTTCTTGGAACAATCCTAATTAAGGTTACATACCAATACGTGGTGCTAATTAATATCGAGTTACTGCAACTTATCTAGTCAGATCATCTAGACGAGTTAATCAAGCCCTTTGCTTAAAATGGTGGATAGAACGACTAAACCTGCAATGCCTTATCCAATTCGATCCATCGTTCAAGTATTTAACTGAATGTATGGTCTTATTTTAGTTTCCTAACATTTGACATAGGATTTACCCGAAAAGGAAATAAAGCAACAGTGGCTTGTGTCCGTACTTTCCTGTTTGGAGAGAAAGAAACGCCGGGCTGTGATGAGGAAACGTAACTAAGCACACACCACAGCCACACCCATCTAATCTAAGTACGACGTCCCTCGTGCATGATTGTATTGGTATGATTTGAAACCACCCAACATTTCTCTTTTCCTATTGTCCTTCTACATCATTATGTTTCTCTTAATAGCAACTTGGTAGCACAGTACAAGCTTTAATTAATAACAATAATTAATAACAATAATGATGATGATAGTGATAATGAGGAAATCTTTCCGGTAAGGTATACCTTACCGGAGCCTCCGTGCGGCCTCCACGTTTTGAGGGCCTTCCCAGTGGAATTTTTCGATGAATTTTTTTGAGCATGTTCTTCATCAAGTCTAGTACATCTATATCAAATTTCAGCAAAAAATTCAATCGGGAAGACAGCCAAACGATTTTTGGAAGATAACTGCGTTTTATATGTATATAAAGGGTGTAGTTATCTTCCAAAAATCGTTTGGCTGTCTTCCCGTTTGAATTTTTTGCTGAAATTTGGTATGGATGTACTAAACTTGATGAAGAACATGCTCAAAAAATTTCATCAAAAAATTCCACCGGGAAGGCCCTCAAAACGTGGAGGCCGCACGGAGGCTTCGGAAGGTATACGACTATACGTTACCGGAAGAGTTCCCGTGATAATGATACTAATAATAGTAATGTTCTCTTCCATCAATGGTGACGCTCGTACTTAGTGGCGGAGCGAGAAAAACAATCTCGAGGGTCGAAACTCAATTATATACGGAATGAAAGCGGTATATCATTCTTAGACAATAGATGAATTGAATGTTTCAGATGCAGATTAGAAAGATGGTGGTTTAAATGAGACTAACAGAGATATACATTTGATATACATGTCATACACTACGTATATCACAAACTTGTTTTATACGTGTTTAGGGTATGTTTGGCACAACTAGCTGAAAAGATGCTTTTGTAAGCTTTTTAATAACTGTTAGCTTTTAGTGAATGAAAAGATCTTAAAAAGAAAAGGTGGTAGCTGTTTGGTAAAAAGTTGACTGTAGGTTTGATTTAGTTCGATTTGGTATACAAGCTGTTAGGACTAATTAGTACTAAAAGTCACGGGCTTTTCTCAGATGCTACTTCCCGTAGCATCTCAAAAAAGATCTTTTAATTTTTGAAAAACTCTTAAAAATTGTCGTGCCAAACATACAAATATAAGCTTTTAGAGGCTTTTTAAACAGTACAAAAGCTAGAAGGTAGGGACTTATGCGTGCCAAACATAGCCCTAGTCGAAGGGTTTCCACACAGGTTAGACCCTTTTGCCTTATCCTGAAACTCTAGTAGTTCCCGTACCACCCAGCTTTATATTAAGAGTTCTTAGCAAAAAAAAGAATCGACTATTGAGTAGGCACTCATAAGAGTGAGATATGTTGTATTTGCTCTATCCTGAGTCATGTCACATAATGAGTGAATCAACATTATTTTTAAATTTTGGGAATATAATCAATATTAAGAATCAAGCTTTTCTCATTTTAAGTTTAGGTAGCGTTGATTTTGCAGAAATAAAACTTTTTATTCGTAATGAATTACGAGAGCCATTATATATCACATCAAAGGTATTTCAGAACTGTATACTCTCAAATTTTCAGGGGGGTCGGCTGACCATTTCAACCTCCCTTGACTCCGCCCATGCTTTTACTCGATTCTCAACCCCCTCCGCGCGCCACCTAGCTTTCACGGCGGAGATATGCCGGATATCACGGGATCGTGTGCTTCTTGAATTTGAGAACCACAGGACAAATTCGGCTTAAGACAATGGGATGACATGAATGGGTTGATTAGAAAAGTGGAAGAAAATAGATAGAAAGTCATCACTTTTATGATTAATGATTAACAACCTCTACGTTTTTTTTACCAGATTTTGCACTTCATCTAGACGAGTTAACTAAGGTTATTAAGTAAGCTCTTTATCCAATGATATTCCAAGTTATTCAGTTCGTTCAAGCTAAGACTTCATCTGGCCTGGATGGTCCAATTCCAAGTCCAATTTTAGGTTCCTAACATTTGACATACGATTTACCACAAAAAGAAAGGAAATAATGAAGGCCGTAGCTGTGTGGGTACTTTCCTGATGGGAGAGAAGGAAAGGTCTGTGATGAGGAAACGTGAGCAAGCACACATACAGGCCACAACCATCAAATCTGAGTACATAAGATGTCTCAGTGATTGGCCTCCTACGATTTAAAACGTACTGCCTAACAATTTCCTTTTCCTTTTGTCCTTCTCCACCACATTTCTCATTATATTCCTAGCTAGCTTAGTTACTTCAAGGTAGGTAGAACAGTATATGCTTTCATTAGTTAGAATGCTCTCTTCCAATCATTCCAACTCGCTTACGCAGCTCTCAGCCCCCTCCGCCACCTCCCACGGCGGAGGATATTACATCCTTCCTGAATTCCATGATCACAACAACCTCTATCACCACCACTTCCACCAGTTTTCATGGAACACCCACAATTTGTTGGTCAACTTTAATAGCAACAGTGAAGTCAACAACAATATTTATAGCAATGAAGACAATAATGCAGGTAATACCTACATCCGAAAGGAATCTTTGTTGTTCACCGGCAGGCCGGAGAAGGCGGCGGCCAAGAAAAAGGACCGCCATACTAAAATCATGACTGCTCAAGGGCAAAGGGACCGGAGAGTCCGGCTGTCGATCTCCATAGCTCAGAAGTTCTTCCACCTTCAAGACACCTTGGGTCTTGACAAGCCCAGCAAAACCCTAAATTGGTTACTCGCCAAATCGAAGCAAGCCATTGAGGAGCTGAACCACGCCGCCGCTGACAGCCCGCCGTCTTCCGCCGTGAAGGATGGAGTGTCCCCAGAGACGAGTAAGACAAGGGCAAGAGCCTGTTCCATCAAAGTTGGGAAAAAGGTCTTTGGGGTCAACAAAAGTAATGATGCTGCTAAAGAATCTAGGGCAAAGGCTAGGGCTAGGGCTAGAGAAAGAACAATCAAGAAAATGTTTATTAGAGAATTGAGTGAAGCCAATCTCTTACTACCAGCACCTGTTTGGAGTACTCAACCTCCACTTCCCCTAGTAGAATATCCCTTAGACTATGATGATGTGGCAGCTAAAGAACCAATGGGAAACAAGAAGATAGTGAGGCCTTTCTCAATGTGGGATTGTCCCCAGCATCTTATGATGCCCAAAGATTTGGGATCTGTTGACAGCAACAACAATGTCTACTCTCATAGTTGTGATGCTGCAAATTGGAACAGTGCTGCTACTACTACAATTTCACCCCAAGGTAACATATTACTACCTCCGTCCCGCAAAGATGTTCACAGTTTGACTTACACACATATTAAAGAAATAAACTTGCTGGGGGTAAGTTTTACTACTCCCTCCGTCCCGTTGGAATGTTCCCGGTTTGACCTACACACATATTAAGGAAATAAACTTACCAGGGGGTAAATTTTACTGTTTGGACACTGTTTGGACACTGTTTGGACACTGTTTGGGCACTGTTTGACACTGTTTTGCACGGTTTGACACTGTTTTGATGTGGGATAACTTTCCATTTAGGGAAATGAGAACTTTCCATTGGGACATCCAAAAAAGGAAAGTGGGAACATTCCAACGGGACGGAGGTAGTATTTTGACACTGTTTCGACACTATTTGGCACTGTTTGACACTGTTTGATACTGTTTGACACTGTTTTGCACTATTTGACACTGTTTTTAAGTAATCCATTTAGGGAAAAGAGAACTTCTTTTTGGGACTGCTAAAAAAGGAAAGTGAAAACTTCTTGGCGGGACGGAGTTAGTGCATCGAACTGAATTGAACAGTATTCTCTTAGATTTGGGACTGATTATTCCAGCGTATGTGACTGCGAATAAGATTTGGTTCAAGGTATCTGAACCGATTGTTCTGATAGGAGTTAAAAATAGTAAATGGGGTTGGTATTGGAGACAAACAGAGACAATAACTATACTTTTAAATCCATATGAATTCATTAGAATAAAGACATTTAGCAACAAATGAGAATAAGGAGCACGTCAAAGACAATTAAATGGTTTATGATTAAACTTTTCCCCTAAAGTATTACTAATAAAAATGTTATAGAAAAAATTGATTTAGTAACTTTGAGACAATATATTGTGTTCAAATTAATATAAACTTTCAACATGATTATAATCACTAAAAGTTATGAAGTTATATTTTTGTACACTACTATTATTTTGATATACCCTCCGTCCCGTAATTAAGTTTCTACTTTCATTTTTGGGATGGTCCATATTAAAGTTCTCACTTCAAACCTTTTCTTATTTGGCAAATGATTTAGACCAAAACAGTGTCAACCAGTGTTCAAACGATGCCAAACAGTGTTCTAACAGTGCACTCCATAGTAAAGTCAAATTTATTTCTTAATATGTGTGAAGTCAAACTAGGAACTTAATTAAGAACCGAAGGGAGTATTGGAAAGATCAAGTTCGAGTTCAAGTCGAATTTCAATTCATTCAAAAAATTCATTACTTTTTCGAGTTGTACTCGTGTTTTGTATATTCTAATAATTAATACTCCGTATATATCTATTTATAATAATTCAAATTATACCCGATCAATTTTTAGTAGCTTCCGCATACTACATAAAAATCATTGAATATAGATCGAAGAATAGCACTCTATCCTTATCTATTAACTTGCCATACATTTATTTTCTAGAAGTATTTTAACCACTTTTTTACTTAGATAAATTACTTTTCTCTATTTTATCCCCTATTCATATATTTTCATCTTTCTCTTCATACATTTTCATCTTTCTTTCAAGCTACTTGCAGTTTTCCTATATTATTAAGAATTTCTATTACATCACTTGAAATTGTAATCTTAACATCTTCTCATTTAAAAAAGCCCAAACCTCCAATACATGTACCCTAAACTCTATTCTATATCATCTTTATTATCTAATTATTTATAGAGTTTTAAATTATAAAATACAGAAAGTAGAAAGAAATTAAAAATATTAAAACGGAAATATGGAAATATAGATTTTTATAATTAAGATAGCATAAAAATTAAATAACATCACTTTTTTTATAAAAAAAGTTGGAAATGCCCTATATCTATATATACTTCATATATTATAAATCACAGTAAAATAAAAAATGAAATTTACTGAGGAAAATTTATATTGGTAACATAAGTGGGGAAATAGAATGATTTGGAAAATAATAAAAATGAATTTCATTGAGAACAAAATTAAAATCAACTAAAGACATTGTTTTTATCCTTGGTACATTTAAGAACATTAATTTGGAAATGTGTGAGTGTGTGTATATATATAGAATAGAGATCAAATACAAAGACTTCTTAATTTACAAAGTACAAACTCATCTTGACCGTCCGATGAGTTGATCCAAAGGAGGAAATTCCAAAAACGCGGGTGTTTTGTGTTTGTCATTCCAAAAAACGGGACTTTGCTCCCTTGTATGAATATACGGGATTCGGAATTGGGGTTTCCGAATTGCATGAGGGGGAGGGGGTGGGGGGGGAGGGGGAGGGGAGAGGGGAATGGATAATTTAAAATCTTATTTTTCATTTTTTCTATTAAGTAATGTAACTTTTTTATTTGTATTCCATTTTTTACAAAAAATGTATCACAATTTATAATTTTTCATGATGTTTCAAACGACACCAATATTCCATATATAATTTTTTTTTTTAAAAATTGAAATTTCGGCAGTACAAGCTTTTCAGATTCAAAAGTTTTCTTAGATAGATCCAAATGATAAAGTTATAGGGTGTTTTGGCATTATGCGGTTAGTGGTTGGCAGATAGCGTGTTATGTTAGCGGGTTGTCAATAGCGGATTCGTTGTTTGGCCATAAAATTAATAGAAAACACCATTTTTCAAAACGCCAACTCAAAACTCTCCAACTAGCAGCGTTTTCATCCCAAAATGCTAGGGCCGAATCGCTATTTACCAAACAACTTTTTCACTTATTGAAAATGCTGAAAGAGATCAAACCGCCATTTTTCGACTGAAATGCCGTTTACCAAACACCTCCATAAATTGTTTTTTAAAATAACTGAAACTTGTAAACACTTTATGTAAACAATAAAATCTTAATTTTAACACTTGAATCTATTTAAGAAAAATTTTGGGACTGAAAAAATTTCTATTGGTAAAACTTAAAAAAAATCAAACTTTAATAATGGATATTGGTGTCGTTGGAAAGATAATAAAATATTATGAATTTTGATGTAATTTTTGTAAAAAATGGAATATAAATAAAAAAGTTACACGACTTAAAATCAAAATGGGATTTTACATTAACCTTACCCTCCACTACCCTCCCCCTTGCCCTACCACCCAATCAACCCTATTATTCCAATCCGAAAGGGGAATTCCGAATCCCCATTCTTAGAAAAGCTACAAAAACTCACGTGTTTTAGCAGTATAGGTTAGCTTTTCCCGTAAATTAAGAAATCACCCGATCCAAAGGACATAAAGGCAAGGTGGCATTTTTGTAATAAAACTCAACTTTTTAGGGTGCAACTCGTTGCACCTTAATGTGCAACTGCTATTTTTATGACTTTATAATGTGCAATACTTTGAACCTCAATATGCAATGCAAATAACGTCAAGGTGCATTGTACAAATATTTGCACAATAAGCACACTTTGTACTTGATCTTTCCCCTATATATATATATATATATATATATATATATATATATATATATATATATATATATATATATATATATATATATATATATATATATATATATATATATATATATATATATATATATATATACAGAAATGCTCAGGTGCAGCCGGAGGGACGGGAGCAGCCGTCCGAACTTCACTGTTTGGGGCGGTTCCCGGTGGAATTTTTAGATGAAATTTTTTGAGCATGTTCCTCATCAAGTCTAGTTTGTCCATACCAAATTTCAGCTCAAAATTCGACCGGGAAGGCAGTCAAATAAATTCTTGAAGCTTACTGCACATTCTGCGCATATATAAAGTGCATTAAGTTTCAAGAATTTATTTGACTGCCTTCCCGGTCGAATTTTGAGCTGAAATTTGGTATGGACAAACTAGACTTGATGAGGAACATGCTCAAAAAAATTCATCGAAAATTCCACCGGGAACCGCCCCAAACAGTGAAGTTCGGACGGCTGCTCCCTTCCCTCCGGCTGGACCTGAGCAGTCCTCTATATATATATATATATATATATATATATAGAGTGGTCTTCATGTCAGGCCGGCCTGACGGGATGCTCCGTCCGGCCGAGCCCGTTTGGGCACCTTCCCGGTGGAATTTTTTGATGAAATTTTTTGAGCATGTTCCTCGTCAAGTCTAGTTTGTCCATACCAAATTTCAGCTCAAAATTCGATCGGGAAGGTCGTCAAATGATTTTTGCAAGTTAACTGGTCCGGAAAATACATATTCCGGACCAGTTAACTTGCAAAAATCATTTGACGACCTTCCCGATCGAATTTTGAGCTGAAATTTGGTATGGACAAACTAGACTTGATGAGGAACATGCTCAAAAAATTTCATCAAAAAATTCCACCGGGAAGGTGCCCAAACGGGCTCGGCCGGACGGGGCAGCCCGTCAGGCCGGCCTGACATGAAGTTTTCTCTATATATATATATATATATATATATATATATATATACACAAATGATCCTGTCCAGACGTCCGGACAGGAACCGCCGTCCGGCCGGCGGCGTTTGGCCGCCTTCCCGGTGGAATTTTTTGATGAAATTTTTATGGCATGTTCTCCATCAAGTCTAGTTTATCCACAAAAAAATTCAGCCAAAAACTCAATCGGGAAGGTCATCAAATGATTTTTGCAAGTTAACTGGTCCGGAATATGTATTTTCCGGACCAGTTAACTTGCAAAAATCATTTGACGACCTTCCCGATTGAGTTTTTGGCTGAATTTTTTTGTGGATAAACTAGACTTGATGGAGAACATGCCATAAAAATTTCATCAAAAAATTCCACCGGGAAGGCGGCCAAACGCCGCCGGCCGGACGGCGGTTCCTGTCCGGACGTCTGGACAGGATCAGGACTCTATATATATATATATATATATATATATATATATATATATATATATATATATATATATAGGGAACTCTGGTATACCTTACCGGAGCCGTTGTGCGGCCTCCACGTTTTGAGAGCCTTCCCGGTGGAATTTTTCGATGAAATTTTTTGAGCATGTTCTTCATCAAGTCTCGTACATCCATACCAAATTTCAGCAAAAAATTCAATCAGGAAGACAGTCAAACGATTTTTGGAAGATAACTGCGTTTTATATGTATATAAAGGGTGCAGTTATCTTCCAAAACTCATTTGACTGTCTTCCCATCATCGGATGGTTTGCCACTGATGTTAAAAAAACAAAAACAAGTAATCCATAAATATAAAGAAACCACTCATGAAAAACAATAAAAAGAGGAGTATAAACCACATATTTTATTTTTTCCATATTTAGTTAGGGACAAAAACTCCAATATTAGGGTAAAAACTCCAATATTACTAAAAACAATAGGGAGAAACATTGAAATGCATGAATGTGGATGGTACCATGCATCATTTTAGGAAAACATATGTCTTTTGTAATATTGGAGGTAATTTCCTCAGAATGTTAACTTGATAGGAGCAGTCTAGAAGATCTAATCAGTGTATCTCCAATGCATGCATCAACGTCACTTCTTTCTCTTTGTTTTTGTGATCTTATATATTTTGGGTAATTTTTCTCAACAATTGCGATCACAATGTCTATATCTTGATGTTGTATCTGACATTGTAGAGAATTATCAAAAGCACATATGACCGACCAGATAAGGAGAGAGATATTTTAAATACTATTCTCCGCTCTTTAATTCTTGCAACAATTTGACTTTCACGTTTGACAACGCACAACTTTGACTGTAATTATATTTAATTATGTATTAGGAAATATTATAAAAAATTGATATTTTGGAAAATCACTTTGATAGAAATTCAATAACATTTTATACGTAATAATTTGATTTTATATATTAGTAGAAAATCTTGGTCAAAGTAAGCTCTGTGAATAGTGCAAAAATCACAATGTTGCAAGAATTAAAGAATGGAGAAAATATTAATTTTTAAGTGCTTATTCTTCATGTCATGTAAGTGTGTGTTCACATTTTTACATTGGAGATGGTTTGACCTCAAAATTTCTAATTGATGTGCATCTATTGCAGTATTCAAATTTGCAGAGGATCACTGGACTGGTTTGACCTCAAATATATACCATAGCTAAGTAATGTGGTTTATACAACTCCTAGCTAGTTATTCACCAACATATGTGAGCTGCTCTGTGTCTATACCTAGATCTTCATTCTTGAATATTGGTGCGTAATCTATATCAGAAGCAACAAATATACAAGTGCTTGAAGGGATATACCAATGAAAAATTTCCTGCATGTGATCATTCACCAGCTATTCGATTTGGTGTTCTGTGTGTGCTTGTTTTTTGACAAAAGAAGAATAAGAAGTAATGAGTAGATGTGGTGTGTGCTTGTTTTAGATATATCAAATGTAATTGATATTTTTCTACTTGGATTACTTTCATTTTTAAAAGAATTTAATAAACACAAGCACAACTGGTGCGTGAGGTCATATCTCATTTGGCTTCCATTAGGTAATCGTTCTAGTTCCTTATGCAATTTCAGAATGTTTTAATTGTACTCAAATTTGTTGATCTGGTCTGATCTATTCAAGTCTGCTCTTGTCTGGTCTGATTTGATAAATACGGAGTATTTGGTATATGTGTATTTTATAACTATGAAATGTGATAACCGTTCAAAGAATCATATATTGATGGAATCATCAACCATATGTGCATATGTACCTTTATTATGAGCACACATTATCTGGTGTATCAAAAAAATTATTGAAGACAAAATTATACAAATCAATGGTCATCATAACGATGAGGTTACACGATATAAGACACCGTAGTGGAGTCATATATATGGCTCTAGTTTTTGTCATTTTTGATCCCTCAATTGTTATGTCAATGACATTTTTGATATTCGACTTCTAATTGTTCCATTTTTATTCTCCGACTATTGCGTTAGAGACACTTTTAGTCTTCGACTTAAAGGTTTCCAGCATTTAATTCCTGAGTATTGTCAAATTGACAGTTTTAGTCTTCCCATTATGATTTTGACACAATAAGTAGAGGTCTAAAAAAGTGACTATTATAATAGTTGAAGGACCAAAAGTGTCGCTTTTATGAAAGTTGAAGGACTAAATATGAAAATTTTCAAAGACGGGTACCAAAAGTGTCTCTAGTGCAACAGTCAAGGACTAAAAATGAAAAAAATCAAAGTCGAGTACCAAAAATGTCAATGACATAATAGTCGAAGGACTAAAAGTGAAAAAAAAAACTCGATATGGCTCAGCTCCCTAAAATTTCCCTATATTAATTGGCTGCCAAATCAAGTAAAAAATGACTAACTATTTTTAAAAACTTTTAAAAACATATACTCCGTATTTTTTACCGTAAAGTGTCGGAGTATATGAGACAACATCCTTACGTATGACTAGTGATGGACTCGGGCTGGGCCGCCCGGCCCGACCCGCTACTGTGCGGGCCCGGCCCGGCCCGGTTTTCCGGGTCCGGTTCGGGCCGGAGGCCCGGGGGTGGGGCGGTTCCGGGCTCGGTTCATGGGTTTGACGGCCCGGCCCGGCCCGGCCGGTTCGGGCCCGGGTCCGGGCCAAATCTATTTTTTTTTTAATTTTTTTCATTTTTTTTGGGCTGTTGGGCTTGGTCTATCTGTTTAGGCCGGTTTGGGGGGGTTTGGGGGGGTGGGGGATAGGGGGGGGGGGGGGGGAAGAAAGGAAAAAAAAAAAAAAAACTGGGTGGCCCGAACCGGCCCGGTCCGGCTCGGAACCGGACCCGGGACCGCCCTACCCCGGTTCGGGCTCGGGCCTGCTATTACTGAACCGAGGCCCGGCCGGGCCTAGGCCCGAGGCCCGAACCGGCCCGGTTCAGTCCACCACTACGTATGACCTAAATAACTCAAAAAAGTCTCACATAGTGACCCCTGATAAGATACAGAGACCATCATGTACACTTAAAAGAGCATTATTAATCACTAACCATTGCTCGGGACTGAATCTCGCTCATTTTGGCAATGCAAGCCACAATACTTTTACTAAATTGAACCAAATGCGTCTGGATTTGAGACGAAATAGAAATAGGGAAAATTCCCAAAATATGAGTAAAAACAATATAAAATTCTAAAACATGAGCACTATATATTTTTTGGCGAAAAGGGGTATCATAGTGTCATCCGTGAATTAGGGGTGGACTCGGGCTCAGGCCCGGACGGGCCTCGGTTCAATTTAATTTTTTTTTGGCTTTTCCTAATTAACCCCCAACCATCCCCCCTCACCCCCAAACCACCCCAAACCACCTCAAATGGCCCAAAATACCCAGCCCAACCCAAAAACTTAAAAAAAAATCATAAAAAAGAAAAAAAAAAATTGACCCGGACCGGGCCTAAACCGGGCCCGAACCGGCCGGGCCGGTTCACCCTTTGAGGGGCCCGAGCCCGGCCCGGAACCCCATCGGGTCGGGCCTACCCGGACCGGTCCCTGGCCGGGCCGGCGGTTCGGGCCGGTTCAAACAGTGACCGGGTCGGGTCGGTTTCGGGGTGGGCCGCCCGGCCCGCGTCCACCCCTACCTTGAATTTTACTTGCATGTGTTGGCATTGCATATATCAGGCTAATATGGAAATACAATGCCAAAATTGGCAATATTTTATACCTATGACATAATTACTCATATTAAGAAAATAAATGAAAGTACACAAAATTTCTGACTCCTATTTAGAGTAATTTTATATAAATATATCAAAATAGAATAATCCTGTAATTAACGCCACCCAAACCACTAAAAGGAATATATGTAATGTCAAATATTCCTAAAAGGAAATAAGGATATTAAATTTGGACGGGCCAAATTAGAAAAAAAGAGTATAATAACGGGACAGAGGGAGATAACAATTTGGAAAGGGTAAAAGTTTATAAAAACAATTTTCAATCAAAAGAATATAAAAAACGAATTAATTTCTTTTTAACAATTACTTTATAGAATACAAATTTTAAAATGTAATAAAAAGAAGAAAAGTTAGACAACAAAATTTGATGTGAGTTTTCTCGCACTTAAAAATGTTGTAATATAATGGTATAAGTACGAGTATCGTCTCCACAGGGACGGACAAAAGGGAATCAAGAATTAATTAAATTAAGCGATAAAAATAAATAAAATAAAAGTGTCATGCGAGATTGATTGGTTGGAAAATTGAACTAATGCGAATAAAACGATTAAACTAGAGGGTTCTTTCTAATTACTGACGAAGGGAACATGGATTGATTCCGGGGTACTCAGATTTATGACTGATCAGGCTTAATTACATGAAATTAGTTTAATTGAGCCTAGCTGATCATTACTAAGTTGTTACCGCTCTCGCGGCGTAGAGTACAATAATTTAGGGGATCAGACAGATCTGTCATGCGACAGGATCCTAAATTATTGCCAAGACGAACGAGCTTATGGTCCCTTAATTGCTACTTATCTCTTAGCGAACGATTAAGTGTGTGTCAATGTGTCCTAGAACAAATTAGATCTCTCTTAATGTATTCTACATGCAATTGTAATTCTAGTGGCCATCTAGGTTACAAGAGATATCAGTTAAATTAATCAAACACAAATTAAACAGCATTCATGCAATTGATCCATCATGAATTGAGCCATACATCATGAATAACCCCTTCATCAATCCCAAATCCCTAATTAAAACTATTCGCAATTCATAATTGAATAATCAACGGGATTGGGATGAATAGAAATAATCGTCATTAATTAAAAAAAATAGAACTTACAAAGAATCACTAAATCTTGAAGAACAAGGATTGAAAAGCTCTCAAAAGCCGACATAGGGTTTATCTCTCTAAGCTCATAAGTCAAAAACAGACAAAACTGGGGTCTATTTATAGAAAAATCTGAAAACAGGCCAAAAATCTGGCCACGCGGTTGACCGCACGCCGTGCGGGGACTTGCGCGTTTTTTTCTGTCTCTGACTTTTACTCCGCCCGCACACCCGCACTATGCAACCTTGCGGGTACTTCTGGGGGCTATTTCTGGACCGCGCGGTGTGCGGTTTCGGCCTCGCGGTGTGCGGTTCAGACCCCTTAACTTTTTGCTCTCAAAATCACCTGCAGGGCGTGCGGAACCGACCCGCAGGGCGCGCGGACTGCTCTAGAACCGTTTTCTTGCTATTTTCTTCCTCGTTTTCTCCCGGATGCTTCTTTGATCGATCCAAAGGCCGTTTCTTCATCAAATCTTTGTTGTGAACTTCCTGGTGGCCTCCAAAATTCTCAAATCTCTCTCGAATGCTCTCCAACTCTTCCCGATTGCTTCTCAAGCGCTGGTGCCGGACGCTAAATTCCTGAATTTGAATCCAAACAACACAAAACTCGAACCAACGCCTAGTAAACATAATTTGAGCTAAAATTGAGACTTGTAACACCTAAAAGCTAGGGTAACCGTCAAAAGCCGATCCCAACACGCATCAAATGCGAGTTGTAATATGAGCTTATCAGATGCCCCCACACTTAAGCTTTTGCTTGTCCTCAAGCAAACTGAACAATGGGACTTACGATAATCACCACACAGAATTAAAAATCATTAGCATGCCATGTAATTAAAGGGATATTCATAGAACAGACAGACTAAATCAAGCACATTCTTTCCTAAACTACATCTTTGTACTCAAACTAAAATATTTGACAGAATTATTCACAACATCCTCAAAGTAGTGACAACATACACAAATAAACTAGCTACCGATCAGAAGGACTTGTGAAGGCGGTGGTGAATGGTTAATGGAAAACAGTCCCTTTCTTGAGAGTTCGGAACATCCTAACAAAAGACTTGATGCATTCATAAATTTCGGGGCTATTCTTAGGATAAAAAAAACTTAGTAGGCCACAATTTAGGAACAATCATTTAAACCTAAGCAAAAAGTAGACATGGTGTACAACTAAGCTAAACCGTCGCGGCACATTGGTGTTTTGACGTATACTTGAAGTACACGAAGGACTAAAACAAATTTTTGCAATAGCCTCCAAGTTCATTAATTATGTTTAGTTTTCCTTGTCATGTTGGCACGAGAACGCCATTTCTTTCGAAAGATACCCAAGTCTCATCTTACGCTTTTTGACCGGGGCTCCCATTCTCTTTTTCACAAGATAAGAGGTCTAGCTATACTAATTTTTCACCTTTCGGATTTTTACTAGACATAACCTCATTCTAATATCGGCCTCACCAAGGAAAAATAGCAATTAAAGTTCATTTATTTCAAAGTGAATCCATGCCTACAATGCAAACCTTGAAAGTATCAAATTCCTAAAAAGTGACTGCTCTTACCCCATTTGGGGCATATGAACAGTGCCAAAAATGGCTCCTACAAAAATTCCCTAAACTTAGCAAATGAATCCCCTAGTTCCCTAAACACCAAGACTTTTTCAGAAATATTCACGGGTAAGGAAACACAGGCCATATGGCTATCGAGCTCAATTAATCGGGTAAACAATACACGGTCAGGCTCAAAGTGGCTTCTCCTAAAGGACTTTTTCAAGTGGGGTGGATGATTTATGAAATTACTCAATGGGTGACTAATGCTTTCATCCTCTCAACAGCTAGATTATAATGTAAGCAATTTTAGCCTAAATAAACACGATGTTCTAAAAGCATAGTCAAAATGCTAGATAGCTCACAAAGACACATTTTAAAGAAAAATTTTCAAAAAATTTGACAA